CTCTGGCTCCCTCGGGGCTCAGGCGCTTGTGTCCTTAAAATGCTTCATCATTTCCCAGAGGCTTAGACCATAACCCTGCAATAAAGGACTTCAAATAATGTGCACCTTGCCGTCTGAGTCAGTCACCGAGCGCACAGCTCTCTCAGAACTAAAGCAACCTGGAATACGTCGCGAATTGTGTGCCGAGTACTCACACGGTTCACACTACTTCCTTCTAAAAAAAACCCAACTACTTAAGGGTTTATTTAAAACCAAACGAGGTAGTTAAAGTAACTATAAAAGTTATTCAGGTAGTGGGGATTTTTTTACGCAGCTGCCTCACTAGTACCCGACGGAAGAGTGAGTATGATATTTTCTATCTCAGAAATTACAAAGCTAACCTAAAGCTTCCCAGGACAGGGAGAGCGTTGAGTTCTCGGAGCGGACAAACCACCATGTCACCGGTGAAGCGGTCAGCCCAAAGCAAACTGAACGAAAAGCTCCGCTCTGTGAAGATGAGAAGAGAAGCGATTTCCAAGACTAAGAGTAGAAACTCCAACTCCCCAGCCCGGCTGCCCTGCCAAGCGGCTGTCGGGAGGAACAGCCTCTTGTCTATTTGGTAACACAAAGTGCTTCATTATTTTAATTTCTTCTGAGGGCTCGTTAAGTTCTGTGAGCAAGCCTTTACTCATAATTACTTCAAGAGGCTGGCACACGGGCTCTAACGTGTCATAAAACCAGTCGTTAAACGATGCGGCGATTGGTTCCGAGCTGCCCTGCGCTGCCGCGTCACTTCTGAGGGAACTTCAGGCTCACGTGTACGTGGTGACACGGGGAGCAGACAGGCAGAAAGACAGACAGACCGACCGACCCTGGCTTAACCCCTGTCATCTGGAGGACCTGCCCTTCCTCCCTCAGCCAGCACAGGGTGGCAGCGCTCAGGCATCCAAATGCGAGAGGCGGCGCCGGATCAGAGCCCTGACCCTCTCTGGGTGGCCCCACAAGAATGAGCCCAAGAGTGGATTTTAACCCCCCAAAAGTGGGCTTTAACTTGGGTCAAGGGCAAAAACAAGCCGTATGTCTCCCAGCCGGCAGGGATACAAGCTGCCTCCTGTCCTAGCCCAGTCGAATCCAAACCAGGAGTTTTTGCCAAGAAAAACACTCTTGCCTCAGCTATCTTCGCAGTAGTTCCTGCCCAACATCAAAGGATTAGCTAACAATAGGCAATTTACACCATCGTGTTCCTTTTCAGGTGGATCTTTTCCTCATCGGCAGTGTTGTCATGGAGCTAAAACACCAGGTGACTGCCAGAAAAACCATTTCCTCATGAACAAGTCGTGGGAGAGCTGGGGCTGCTCAGGACCTAGCCCAGCCATGGGGCTTCCTTCCTCCCTCGGGCTTTTGCCAGCTAAAACCTGACAAGGAAGGGTGGGGAAGGAGAAGGGCAGGAGTAATTACCTTCCAGCATCTCCCCAGCTCCTTTGGGGTAAGTGAAGAGGGCTTTGCGGGGCGGCGCCAGGTCCGAAACGCTGAATCCCGATCCCGTTACGGAGCTGCCGCTCACTCCGCCAGCCGAAGAGGACGAGGAAGAAGCTGCCATTTCACCCTGTCCCAGCCTGGAAGAACAACAAAAGGGAGTGAGGGAGAGTTAAGGCATCGCTCCTCATGGGCTTTTGGTTTTAAAATATCACTTTTGACCTAAACTGGCAGCAGCTGAGCATCTGTCTGCTGCCTGCATGGCCCAAATCCAGTTGCCTCCTGCCTACCCTTGTTTTTAAGAGTTCCTAGGTGTACGTTTGTTAGGACGGAGTACTTAAAAATTTGTCGCAGCCCTCAGTGCCTCTGGAAAACACTGGAAGATTTGGTGGAGACAACGTTGTTTTAAAAAGGCGGTCAGAACTAGAGGTGTGCGCTCTTTCACGGCTAAGCTCCAGGTTGTTTCGTTTACTGTGTGTCATACAAGAGTGCAGCAGGAGGCTTACAGGCTGCGAAGAAAACGCCTGGATAAAAGAAAACTTTACTATATGCCGTGGTATGCCCAGCAACACCTTCCTCAGAAAGCCTCAGGCTTGTGAGGGAAACGAGACGATGGTTTGCACTGAAATGCCACCGACCGGGACTCGCAAACCCGGTGGATTCCTAATTATGGCTTCGGGATTTTTATTTTAAATAGGCTGAGGGGAATAGAGAGCACAAGGACTGCAGGTGAGCACGACGCCCACA